TCATTCAAGCCGCGCGATATACTTAAAAACAAACTAACAACGATTCTACACGACGGTAACTCACAAGACGTTCATATCAGTGATCTACGACACACCGCAGCGGATCGAGTTACGCAACAACGAGAGAAGGCCAAAATACGTTTCGACCAAAAACATACTGCGCCAACGCAATACAAAGTCGGTGACTTGGTCTTAGCCGAGAACGAATCACGAAAGTTGGAGCCACGTTACAAAGGCACCTTCGTTATTAGCAAAGCCCTTGATCGAGATCGATACGTCATAACTGATCTTCCAGACTTTCACGCAAACAACGTCATTACACGTCTATATACGCTTCAGATAAGCTTCGACCGTGGTGCAATCTGCCAGCTCTCGACGAACAAATTAACGAGGGTGGCATAAGTACCGATGACGAAGACAATTTATCAACTTATATTGATTTAGCAGTGGCCCAATCTCCCCGGGGTCAGCCTGGTTTAGATGGTCACACTAGTTTGCTTCTGGTGGGAAGTTGGGTAGGAGCCTCTGTGACGACCTAACGGACAGTCGGGTACTTTGCGTTTTTGTGTTTGTGGTTGAGGAAAATTATTTTTTTTTACTGTTTCTGAAGCTTAGTTACACTCAAGTTTTGATTGTTGGTAGGTACTTCAAAATTCTATTATTTTCAACTTTAAAGCACTTGACTCTAGTTGCTATTCATGTCTACATTTTCTTTTCAGCGTCGTTGCCCATCGGCAACCCAATAGAGGTTGCGTGGCTAACCATTATCGACCCATAAGCTATTGATGAAAATTTGCAATACTTTTGCAAATTCCCAACTGATAAAACGTTGCTAGAAATTCACACAGAACGTGATACTTTAATAATTCACGCAACGCTGCAGTTGTGATTGCATCTCGAATAAGCCCCTACAACTGCAGCTGCTGCTACCACTCTACTAATAAATATCGCATACAATTTTCTTTATGCTGGAAATTTAAAGGACTGTCGAAAAAAGCAACAAAAAGGAAAACTACTCACCTGCACTCTCAGAGGATGTATCATTAAGAGTGGCAATATGTACGACCTTGTGGGCAGCACTTCCGACAGAGACATTCCCATTTTGGTAACAGCTTGACACAGAAATGCTGCCAAGTAACGATGAAGTGGAAAATGAAAGGAAGCCTGCATCATTTCGTCCTGTTTAAAAAATAGATATGTAGCAATATCAAACTAATAATTGGTCTTAAGTATGTATTGGAAAAGCATGCATTAGAATTACAGCGCCGTATATATGCATATCAAAAATTGCTTATTTGTTTAACAGCGGTGTTCTGCTGTGCATTGACCAAAAATAATATTAATAGTACAAACCGGCGATAGTTTTGGTTCCAAAAAGTAAATGGCATCCAACCATTCATGCAGAGTATTAACGCAATACGTAATTATCTTCTTGGCTAAATGAGCATGAGTGCCGTCCTGTAGATGTGATATTATGGACCACATGGGATAAGCGCTTGCCTCCAACTCACACGAAAAGGCGGCGTAATAAGAATTAGGTTCGAACTCCACATGGGACGTTGTCTCTCGCACATTTACATTCATGCCTTGCAGCATTGAAAGAAACTGAAACCACATATCGATCAAATTGTCATCACGCAAAAATACTAGGGCCACTGATTCATGTGAGAGTACATTGTTAAAGTCAGACACTAAAGGCCAGTAGCAATGATCCTTCATCACTTGGCGTGTACAATCAATTACGAAATGGAAATTCTTGTTCGGGTCTATAGAGAAGAACTTACAGTTATTATAAATATCTGCAATTTGAATCGTACGCACTTACCATGCAATGTATTTTGTATGAGTATCTTTGACATCATTAGCTTAAGACTGATTATCATTACATGCAGTAAGGACAGTTCTTTAACCATCTTCAAAGCTAAGCTTTCATTGGAAAACAGTTGGACGCTCATGTGCACAACTCGGTTGCTAAGTGTATCTGGATCGCGTGACATTTCCAATACGGACGGTATGCGGCTATAGTGCATCACGAAAGTACGAGTAAGATGCTCCTAGATATTTGAGAAAAATAAATTCTTAATTTTAGACTTTGTTCCATGTAAAACCCCTATTAAATCCAATAACTCATCAGCAAAAAATATTTTCAGTTTATGCTCGAATTTTAAAATCTTATTAAAAAGTTTAAACTTTTAGTGCAATTATGTTGCAATGATCTAATTTTCGCAAAGAGTTGGAAATTAAATGAAATCTTTAAATTAAAATCAATTAAATTTGACGCTGTATAGTGTGTAAGAAAATGTACAATTTCTAGATTATTAAATAAATAAATAAATATGTACATATGTATGTAAACAAAACACATTTTTTTATTACCTTATAATCTTGATCGGGCAGCATGTTAAGCAAAA